AATCATAGCAGTCAGAACTGCAATGGATTATGGTAGCATTTTAGTCTGTTGTGTGTGGGGCTCCCATGTCACGGGCCAAACTCAGTGGAAGCTAACAGCAACATGCACTGCTGTGAGGACTGGACAGCTGTATTCTGTAGAGAGGGAAAACTGAGGCTCAGAGGAAAATGCCAGTCTTCTGACTCCATCCGTCTTGTCATTGTGTCACATTTTTCCCTGTCTGTAATAAGCACTGTGCCACCACCCTCCCCCCAAGGCCAGTGGTGACAGTAGGTGGTCTGTGGGGTGCTTGTGGGGGCGACTACACAGCCTCAAGGAGCATCCTCCAGGCTGTAATTCTGCCTCTACCTACCCTTGAGCACCACCAGAGAAAACCTGCTGCTTTTTGCACTTACAGCAGAACCTGCTCAATGTGAAACAATAGCCTTGGGAACAGATTCCATGCATGCTTATGACCCAAAGACGCCTGTTTGTGGGAAATCACTTCCTAATAGAGACTGACTGACCCAGATTTCACAACTGCCCCACCTTTGGCCATCTCACTGCCAAGATGTCCAGTCCTTGGAGGGGGAATAAGTTGTGGGGGAGGGGGAGTGACTCGATTTTTATTGGAGTAAATGATTCATGCACATGGTATAAAAGCCAAAGGTAAAAATACGGGTCTTCAGTATAAACTAAATCTCTTTCCCACCCTGCTTCCTTGCATTCTTGCTAGAAGCACCCACTGGGATTAGTTTCTTGTGAACAGAAGATAGAAATGAACTCAAATGGATTTGCTTTTCAGGGAGTTGGTCCAGATGGGTAGTAGCCAGCCCTAGGGTGAATCAATCTGTAGGAGCTGATGAACCTAAATGAATATAGGGAGACCATCAGAAAAGTGTTTCTGAATGGGAGGATGGGTTGTTGTCTACCAGGCTCATCTGCTTCTCTCCTGTTAGTGTGAACACTGCACAACAGTAGCCTTGGTTTTCTTAGAAGCCCTTTGTGACTAAGGCTGGGAATCCAAAGCCCCCACCCTACCCCCTCCCTGTCATTAAAGAAGAGCTGTGTTTCGTAATCCGTGCACAGACAGGATCAGGTCCTGTGCATGAGCTACACGGAGAACTAGTAAGGATCAGCATGGCCTTCTTCCCCACCCCCTCCTTAGCCTCGCTTCCTTTTTGTTCCTTTCCCGTTTTTCATTTTTATTCCCCACCCCCAACTGCACACCAAATGTCTACATGGGCTTCCTATGGATTTATGATTTATGGTTATTCATTCTATTAACTAAGTGGTTTTGCTAGGGTAAAATATTAAGATACCATTGCCATTATGACCCTGTCTTCCATGATCTCATTGGCAGCTGGTGTTGCCATGACAACTTGGCTGGAAAAACTGGTACTGAGCTTCAATGGAAGGCAATATATGAGCACTGGTGTGTGTGTGTGTGTGTGTGTGTGTAAGAGAAAACCTGCAGATTTCCCATCACACATCTCTGCTGTGCAGCTCGTACCTTCTGTTTTCCCATCCAATTTGGTCAAAATTAGTTTCAGTACTCTAAATCAATTGGAAGGAAGTTTTGGAGGATTATTTCTTTGTTTAGAGCCAGGGACACATACAAAATATTTTAAAGGCTTTCTAGCTATGTGAAATGAAGCAACTGTGCCCACTTTGATGCCATTCTTACAAGTACCTTGTGTTGAACTTAACATCTTTATGCAATTCTCGTAGCAAAGTCAGAGATGGAAGGGATCTCAAATGCCAACTTGTCTGACCCCTTTTTGTTTAGATGAGAGAACTGAGGCACAAAGAAGCTAAGTGAGTTGACCCACACAATAATGCATGGTACAGTGCGTAAGAATCTGGCCTCTGATTATGCAGCTTGGTGTCCATTATGTATTTACTGTTACCTCAGCCAAGTTAGTTAACCCCTCAAAGTCTCAGTGTGTACATGTATAAATGGAATTAATAGAGGGGAACCTACTACCACCAAGAAAATAAAGCTGGGAGTAGAGTGCGTCCTTTGGACCTGCACTGAGAAAACTCCTAGACCCAGAGGAAGATTGATGCCCAAACACATGGAGATCCCCAAGGAACGCTGGGCCTACAGGTGCTGCAAGGAGACAAGGACTTTTCCCCAGAGCTGACAAAGAGATTTCCCGTACAGTTGTTGTTGTTAAGTATTGTCACGTTGGTTCTGACTCATAGCAACCCTGTATATGGTTTCCAAGGAACAGCTGGTGGGTTTGAACCGACCTTGTGGTCCAGCGCATTATCCTATAGCACCACACCAAGAACTCCCCTTCAGTTGTTGTTGTTAAGTGCTGTCACATCAATTCTGACCCACAGCAACCCTGTATAGTAGGGTTTCCAAGGAGCAGCTGGTGAGCTTGAACCACCAACCTTGCAGTTCAAACAACTTTGCAGTCTGGTGCATTAACCCACAGCGCCACACTAGGACTCCCCTTTAGGGGTGGCAGTTATGTGCCGAGTAGGCATTCTAAATGTGGCCTTCTAGCCTCCTAACCTGTGAGAGAATAGGGGCTAATATCAAGAGCAACAGTCATTGCAAGGATGAAGTGAGGTGATCCATGAGGTTTGACACACAATACATATTGCCACTATAACCCCAGGTCGAACAGGGATCAGTGGCAGAACTAGAATCCAGATCCCTGACTCATACTCAAACTGGAGCTTTCCCCATTAATCCCACATTGCCCTTTGTTTCTTGTGTCATCTCCCTTTTGAGACAATGGTTGCCTTTTTTATCAAGGATTCTGGGTGTGGTGCTGTAGGATCAGCACTGGACTGTGAACCACAAGGTTGGCAGTTCAAAGCCAGCAGCCACTCCTTAGAATATACAAGGTCACTGAGATGGAACTGATTCGATGGCACTTACCAACAGCAACATAGAAGAATGTATGAAGCTAGGTACGTGTAACTAGTTGCTGTCCCCATTAAAACACAATGAAATATTTGCCTGAAAGGGGCATATGCACCATCTTCACGATTGTTGGTATGTTTGAGTTTGGTATTGAGTGCCTTCCAACCATTGTTGAGTGCTGGAAGATGCTTCTTTTCCAGCACTATGTCTGTATTCTGTTGTAATTCACAGGGTTTCCTTTTGCTTATTTCTAGACATAGATTGCCAGATGTTTCTTCCAAGGCTTAGTCTGGTACCTAGTGAATATTTGAAACTATATATTGAGCATGTATTGAAGGTTCACTTAATGACTATAGTGTAGTAGGAGCAAGGGATGAGGAAAAAATTTGAGCTGCTTAAGTTTTTTTTTTTTAATCACCTTTTATGAAGGCAGGCATTTTTCTAAACCTCCCAAGCGCAGGCCTTCACAGATAATTGTAGGTTTCCACCCACCCCTTTAACTCAAGGTGTTGTGAAGTCCTCAACAGACTTTGTGGTTTAAACCGATTCTTAAGCCTATTCTGGAAGTCAAAAGTGTATTTCCTGAGGTGGTAAGAAGGATTTGGAGCAGACTGACACTTTTTCATCACTGACACCAAGCTGAGAGTAGAAAGCACAGCTGTGTAACTGGGGATCTAAAATGTTCTCCCAGCCAAACAGGATAGGCATTAAAAATCACATCAGGCTGGGTAGTTTTACAAAATGTCACTTGTTTAAACTTCCTTTCATCACTCTGTCAGGAACACGGGCAATGCAGTGGAACCTCTGAGTCCTGTTCAGAGAAATAAGCTGTTCTGGGGAAATCTATTTCAAATTATTCTGAAGTGAAAATATATCCAGGGGGTTGGGGTGGGCAGAGAGGCCATGAAGCCAGCTGGGCTCAGCATATCTTCTGTAAGAGTAGCCCAGTCTTTGGGGAAGGGGTAAACCAGTTAGAATTTAACCAAATGACTGGTAGTAAGGGTAGAAGAAAAAGTATCTCAGATTGGGCAGGAGTGCAAATGCTAGTGATTCCTACAGAGACTTGGAGGGAAGCCAGATGACCTGTTTGGGATCTGTGTCAGCCCAGCTACCATACTTTGTTGACTTACACTATTTCCTGCGGTGGCGCTGTGGGATAAAGTAGTGGACCACAAGATCAGTGTGAACCACAGGGTCAGAGGTTCAAACTCACCAGCGATTCCTTGGAAACCTTATGCAGGGTTGCTATGAGTTGGAACCGATCCAACGGCACTTAACAGCAGCATTTGGGCTGGGAGCCCTGATGTGGTACTGTAGGATAAGCACTGGACTGCGAATCGCAAGATAGGCTGTTCAAATCCACCAGCCATTCCTTGGAAACCCTCTACAGGGTCGCTATGAGTCGGAATTGATTCCAAGGTACTTAACAATTTGGGTTGGTGGGTCTGTGGAGGCGCAGGCTGATGAGTTTGGGGAGAGATCCGGTGTCTCTCTGGTACCTCCACTTGTTGCAGGACTAGAAGGAAATCTGGACTTTGGAAACAGACTTATCCTGGTGGAAACCCAGTCCCACCACTTGCCAGGTGTCACTATACGATCGTTACCACATTGACTCATAGCAGCTGATAATGTTCTCTGATGAATCAGGGGCATGTAGTGAAAGAATGTGTGTAGGAATTTAGTAAGTGCTAGTTACTGCAACAACCCTGGTGTTAAAACCTATCATATGGAGAAATCTGTATAAATCCTTAAGCCTCCCCTCTTTACAGTTCACATGATTTTTATGGGTCACCAAATTCTAAGACTTGCATTGTGGTGCCATCTTTGCATCCCCACCACAGGTACAGGAACCCCCCAAACTCATTCCACCTCGAGTTGACCATATGGACCTCCAGGGCCCACCTGAGGGTCACATTCCCAAATCCTCCCAAGCTAGGGCTGGAGGGGCGCTCTCCAAATCCCAGGATGGGGAGCGCCCTCAGCGGCTGTGCAGAGTGCCAGTAGAGAAAAGCCCGAGGGGCTCTTACATAACCCGGATGATGCAACCGCAACTCCTGAGGTGCAGTGACCGCTGCTGTGCAGGAGGAGGAGTGTCGGAGCCCGGGACCGCGGGACTCCACGTGCAGCGCGCCCCACCATGTCCTTCTACCGCACCGCCGCCTGGTTCGCCAAGGGGCTGCGCGAATACACAAAGTAAGACGGCCACCTGGCCGATGAGCAAGGGCTGGCGGGGTAGGCCGGGTCGGCCAGGTTGTCACGTGGCTCGCGGGGCGGCTAGCCAGGTTGGCGGGAAAGCATCTGCTCTCGCAACGTCTGAAAGGCAGCCCGAAGGCTTGGGGGTGCAGCGGGGCTGCGGGCGCTCCCAGCGCTCCTGGCGCTCCCACTACGGACAGGAATCCGAGGGGCGGGGCTTCGCGCCCATGCCCCGCCCCGCTGACAGGCGTTTCGGGTGCTTGCAGCCATCGATCCGCAGTTAACTTGGCGTTTGTGAGGAGCTGTTTGTGGTAATGTTTTAGGTCTTTAGCTAACAAGTTCTAAATTGACAACTAAGTCTTAGTACTTTCTTAGATGTGTTTATTTCTTACCAATAAAACGGAGCCGTGTTGGTGTAGTGAGCTATTCGTTGGGCTGTTAACTGCAGGGTTGGAGGTTCTAATCCACTAGCCCTCCAAGAGAGAACATTGAGGCTTTTGTTCTTGTAGAGATATACGGCCTCAGAAACCCAAATAGGCTCTCTGTGGGTGGGAACCGACTCCAACGCACACAGCAATAGTAAAATGTGTCATTTGGACTCTAGATAGAAAGTTCGGAGTCAGGGGCTGTGCACTCACTTCTTCCTGGTTTCCAGGGTAGAAGAGGCCAAGCCCACCAGCTTTTATTTAAGAATCACAATGTTGTTGTTGTTACGTGTCATCGAGTCGGTACCGACCCATAGCAACCCTATGCAAAACAGAACGAAACACTGCCCGATCCTGGGCCAACCTCACAATTGTTGCCACACTTGAGTCCATGGATGCTGACACTTTGCCAACCCATCTCACTGGGGGGTCTTTCTCTTTTTCTCTGACCCTCCACCTTATCAAACATGATATTCTTCTCCAGCGACTGGTCCCTCCTGACAATATGTCCTAAGTATGAGAGATGAAGTTTGGCTATCCTGGCCTCCAAGGAACACTCTGGCTGCACATCTTCCAACACAGATCTGTTTGTTCTTTTGGCAGCCCATGGCAGTTTCAATATTCTCCTCCAACACCATAACTCAAAAGCATCAATTCTTCTACGGTCTTTCTTATTCACTGTTCAGCTTTCTCAGCATATGAAGTTACTGAAAATACCATGGCTTGGGTCAGGCACACCTTAGTCCTCAAACTGACGTCTTTGCTCTTCAACACTTTAAAAAAGTCTTATTCAGCAGATTTGCCTAATGCAATACGTCGTTTGATTTCTTGACTGCTGCTTCCATGAGTGTTAATAGTTGATCCAAGAAGAATGAAGTCCTTGACAACTTCAATCTTTTCTCTGTTGATCAGAATGTTGTTTATTGGTTTAGTGGTGAGGATTTTTGTTTTTACATTGAAATGTAATCCATACTGAAGGCTGTGCTCTTTGATCTTCATCAGTAAATGTTTTAAATCTTCTGTACTTTCATCAAGCAAGGTTGTATCATCTGCATATCACAGGTTGTTAATGAGTCTTCCTCCAATCCTTATGCCACATTTTTCTTCATAGAACCCAGCTTCTTGGATTATTTGCTCAGCATACAGGTTGAATAAGTATGGTGAAAGAATACAACCCTGTCGCACACCTTCCTTAATTTTAAACCATTCAGTGTTCCCATGTTCTGTTCAAACAACTGCCTCTTGGTCCATGTACAGATTCCTCATGAGTACAATTAAGTGTTCTGAAATACTCATACTTCGCATGAAGGAATTCTCTGGACAAATTATTGAATGATGCAGACAGCATCAAAAGAAGATGGAAGGAAAACACAGAGTCACTGTATCAAAAGGAAATGGTTGATGTTCAAAAATCGCAATGAAGCTCTAAAATTACCAGTACTCTGACCTGAGAGTCCTGGCATAGCGCTGTAGGATAAACACTGGCCTGCTCACCACAAGGTCAGCAGTTCAAACCCACCAGCCACTCCTTGGAAACTGTACACAGGATCGCTCTGAGTCTGACTCTGTGGCACTTACCATAAGCCCCACCCCCTAGAGATTCTGACTCAGTTTAACAGCAAATCTCCCAGGTGATTTGCATATGGAGCCTGACCATTTTCTAGTTGCTGGAGAAGGATATCATGTTTGGTAGGGTGGAGGGTCAGAGAAAAAGAGGAAGACCTCCAGTGGGATGGACTGGCCAAGTGGCAGCATCGATGGACTCAAGCGTGGCAACAATTGTGAGGTTGGCCCAGGATTGGGCAATGTTTAGTTCTGCTGTGCCTACATTTGCTATGAGTCGGTACTGACTCGATGGCACCTAACAACAACAACTCTCTGCCTTGTTCTGAAGCACTTGTTGTTGTTAAGTGCCGTGGAGTCAGTTCCGACCCATAGCGACCCTGTACAGGGTTTCCGAGTCTGTAAATCTTTACGGGAGCAGAAAGCCTCATCTTTCTCCCGCGGAACAGCTGGTAGTTTCGAACTGCTAACCGTGAGATTCACAGCCCGACTCGTAACCACTACGCTACCAGAGCTCCTTTAGCTGCTACCAAAGGCTTTAGATTGGGGTCCACCTAGCCGCATCTTGAAAAAAATGGCTGGCCACTGAAAACTGTATGGAACACAGTTCCACCCTGACACATATGGGGTTGCCATGGGTTGGAGTCGACTGGATGGCAGTGGGTTTAAGGCAGCCTGAGCACAAGGCAAAATTGCTAACAAAGGTAACTGCCACTCCTCTTCTCACATCCTTTCAAAACAGCTGCAAACTATGCAGCCTCAGAGCCCAGCACTGCAGAGAATGGTGAGAAGCTGGCCTTCAGCCCTGTGTTGAATTTAAGTGAATGAAGTGGCAGCTTTTTTTTTGGAAGGACTGTCCTCTGGCAGAGGCCACCGTCTCCTGGCCTCTTGCACAGAGCTGTGCCTGATGAAGAGTATACTTACATTAACTTCCAGCCCTGAGGAAAGTAGTAGGATCTTCCCCCTAGGACTCATTCCCTGAATTCTCCACCTTGAGGGAAGGAAGTAGTCAGGTCAAGGGGCCTGAGACCACAACAAATGGGAGGGCAGAGCATAGGCAGGTCTAGGTTCTTCTGCTGTTGTGTCTGGTGAATCTGAGGAAAAGAGAAGACTTTTAGATTTCAATATGAGAGCTTGTGTTTTAGACTTGCAATGTTTTTTTCTTGGCACACTAGTGTTTTTTTTTTTTTTGTTTTTTTTTTACCTTTTATTGTGAGTCAGGTGAAAGTTTACAAAGCAATTCAATAATTCATGCACATTTTGTTTCATGTCATTGATTGCAGTCGCTACAATGTAACAGCAATCATCCCAAGTCCTTTTGTTTCCCATTTCCTTTTCTCCTCCTTTCTTAACCCTGCCTGCCTTCTGAACTTTGCCCTTGCAAATACTGTCTTTATAATCTCCAATGATTGGTTGTTGCAAAGAAGCACACGAGGATGCTTATAAAGCCTTCCTACAATTGGCATGCTCTAGTTGTTGTTTCCTAAATTTGTCTGAGCGTAAGAATTACTTGGGGCACTTTTAGATTGGCCCCTCAACCCTATTGGCAGGTGTGGGTGAGAAAGTAATGTTATTCAAATTCCATATTTTAATAAGGCAAGGAAAACCTCATCTGGGAGCTTGTCTCCTGATGATTCTTATCATGGAGGGGTCTGGGGATTGTTAATGTTCCAACTCATAGTGACCCTGCATTCCAACGAATGGCTGATGGGTTTGAACTACCGACCTCACAGTTACCAATCCAGTGTGTATCCTCCGGCACCACACCACTACTCATAAGGGGGCTTGGGAAACCTTAAATACCAGGGTTCTGTCCATTAAGAAATAGTTCTTTAAACCAAGCTTCTTGTTAAGTACCGTTGATTTGGTTCCAACTCATAGCCTCCCTGTTTAAGGTTTCTGAGGAGTGGCTGCTGAGTTTGAACCACCAACCTTGCAGTTCAAACCGACTTTGTGGTCCAGGACTTATCCTACAGTGCCACACCACAGGCTTCTTGTTGTTGTTAAGTGCCATCGAGTTGGTTCCAACCCATAGCAACCCTGAATAGGGTTTCCAAGGAGCAGCTGGTGAGTTTGAACCGCCAACCTTGCAGTTCAAACGGCTTTGCAGTCTGGCGCATTAACCCACAACGCCATGCCAGGCACACCACAGGCTTACTGAGTGATTAATGTGCTAGCAGAGAAGCGTGTTTAGGAAAGGTTTTTAAAGACAGGAAAATGCTAACGAAGTTCTGGGTGATTGGTTAAATGCGAAGTTTTTAATTTGGGGAGCAGGAGAGATACTCTACTGGTGACATAAGATGCCGGTTTCTTTATGACTTGTTGACTTTTATTGACTGGGTCAAAAGGACTTTTAACTATCAACTGATATAAACTAGCCTCTTCTTCTGATTGTTGTTAAGTGCCATGGAGTCCGTTTCGAGGAGTGGCTGGTGAGTTTGAACTGCTGACATTGTGATCCAGTGCCTTATCCCACAGTGCCACACCAGAACTCCCTAATTAGTACATTTCAAAAGTTTGTGGGTATGTTATCTCTTGAGAGAGGTCTGACCTTCCCCAGGACCTTCTGTCCAACCTCACCTTCGGCACTTGGTATAAATTAGGTGCAGCTCAGAAAAGTAGCCCTAGGAAGATGTCTGCGTTTACTGTGAGATTAGCTAAAATTTATGACTCGAGTTTGAACATTTAATAGCTCTCTTAGCTTGAATGACAATCACGGGAAGGGCTTGTGAAACCACAGTTTACTGGGCCCCACCCAAAGCATCGGACTCAGTATATGGAGAACTGGCATTCTTACAAGTTTCCAGGTGATGCTGATGCTGCTTGGCTGGAATCCGGCTTTGGAACCACTGGTAGTAAACGTCTATGAGTGGTTTGTGCTCCACTATTCGTTGGCAGTTCGAACCCATCCAGCAAGGCCTGGCAGTCTGTCTCCATAAAGACTGTTGTGTTGTGCTGTTGTGTTGATTCTGACTCATGGAGACTCCACAATTACAGCCAAGAAAACCCTGTGAAGCAGTTCTACTCTGTAACACCTGGGGTTGCCAATTCCAGACCGAATTGACTAGACAACAACATACTAGTGTAACAGAAAGTGCCTTAGGCTAGGTGTTGAGAGAACAGGAAAACTTCCTTTGGCTTTATTACCCACTGTCTTGTGACTTTGGACAAGTAATTTGCTTTCAAATGCTTTAATTTGCTGATATCAAGAGGTTAAGATAAAATGCTTCAAAAAAAGGGTGGTGGGGAGGGATGCATTAAAAGTAATTTTGTAATTTACAACAGATTGGACCCAGATGATCTACTTGTGTTGAAGGCAAAGAGCCAAGGCAAAGGGCAGAGAGGGGTTCTACCATCATGCTAGCCTACACCTGGCCAGGCCCATTGGGCAGCTCCCCTGGCCTGGAGCTTCAGGAAGGGTTTCATACACAAGCTGCTGTCAGCAGACTGTAATACCAGGAATGTGGGAAGCTAACTTCTTCTCTCTCTGGCTTCCCTGGAGGAAGGGGTGTTTAAGGAGCCAGTTCCAGAATGCGCTCTTTTTCTGGCTCTCTTATGGTTTGGGGAGTTCACTCACTAACTCCATACCTGCTAGACCTCATTCATCAGCTCTGGGCCCCTGGCCCTTTCTGAGGAGCCCCTTACCTCTGCAGGGGAATTCTTTCTCAGTGACTCCAGGACCCCAACTTGTAGGGAAAAACAAATCTTCCCACTTCATCGTTGATTTCAGTTTCAAAAGCATCTTCTGATGTGGAAGGATTGGGGGCAGAGGATGAGCTCAATGTTGAGCATGACTGGTACGATTGTAGTCACTGAGATGAAACCAAGCGTATGATTTGTGCAATGTAAAGTTGATGAGCTTGTCTATAAACCTTCACTCAATTTACAATAAAAAGTTAAAAAAAAATTAATGTTATTGTCGTTAAGTCTGTTGAGTCAGTTCTGACTCGCAGAGATCCCTATATAGGATTTCTGAGGAGCGACCTTGAGGTTAGCAGTCCAGTGCTTATCCTACTTTCCCCTACAAGTTGGGGTCCTAGAGTTACTGTGAAAAGATTCCCCTGCAGAGGAAAGGGGCTCTTCAGAAAGAATCAGAGGCCTGAGCTGATGAATAAGGGTCTTGGTGTGGCATTCTGGGATACGCACTGGACTGCTAAACTCAAGGTCAGCAGTTCAGACTCACCAGCCACTCATTGGAAGCCCTGTACAAGCTTGCTTTGGAGTCAGAACTGATTCTATGGCACATAGCAAAAACTTTACTGAGAGCCCTGGTGGGACACTATAGGATAAGCACTGGACTGAGTCAAACCCATCTCTCACTCTTGGAAACCCTATACAGGGTCACTAGGAGTTGGAACTGACTTGATGACACAAAACAATTTATTGAACTCAATATGGAATTCTGGTGTAGTGCTGTAGGATAAGCACTCGACCGCAGGGTCGGTTTGAACAGCAAGGTCAGCAGTTCAAACTCACCAACAACTCCTCGGAAAACGCTTTACAAAGTGGCTATGAGTCGAAACGGACTCGATGGCACTTAACACATATGTTCCCAGTGCTGTGATAAATGTCGGACACATTATCTCATTTAGACTGCACAAGAGATAACTTTTCTTATCTGCTTTCTGCGGAGGACATAGGAGTTCAGAAAATTAAGTGAACACATGAGGTCGCCCAGCTATTAAGCTGCAATTTAAAACTCAAATGTGGTTCAGTCCAAAGCTCTTGACTTGATGTATTTTAATTTTGGAGACAAACATTCGAGGAAACTTTGGAATAATTAGAAGTCTTGCTTGCTTGAGCCACTAGAGCTGAAGTAATAGGAAGGGCGTTCTCTGAGTTGCTGTGGGGAGGGGAGCAGCCTGTTATTCTCTAATAATGTCTGACGAGGCTGTGAGACAAGCTTCCATGACTGCCCCAGTGCAGATGACTTCCAACCAAACCCGCTCATAAACATTCTTTGGGCTCTTCGTCGGGTGTCCTGGGAGAGGAATTGGCAGTTGAGCTGTACCAGGGTGTGGGGCCGGAGACCAGTTCTTGGCAGTGGGTGTGTAAACAGGCCGTGTGGGAGGGCCCTGGGCCTCTTGTAGAAACTTCAGGACCAGAGAGAAACCACTAAGTTCTTTGGGTGTGAGATCAGGATCAGAGACTCTCCCCTGCTTGTGTGGGAAGAGCTCCACTCTCAGGGGTCTCCTGCTAAGCCCCCCACACCATCCTACCTCTACTTCCTGACTTTCTATGCTCGGTCAATTTCTTAACCAGCAAATACCAGGAAAGTAATGGTAGAAGAGGAATCCCTGGGTGCTGCAAATGGTTGACCCAATAGTTGAAGTTTAAATTCCACCCAAAGGTACCTTAGCGATCTACTTCCTCCAAATCTGCCATTGAAAACTGTATGGAGCACAGATCTACTCTGACAACTAATAACAACAAAAGCATCAGGGGCAATCTGAGAAAGGTAGTTTGGATGTCACAAAATTGGGATCTCCAAATATTTTGAAAAGTTCAGAAAGTCCATGGTGAGGAAATCTAGGCCCTGGGAAGTTGACATTGTTGGTGAGACCAGGGAGGAAGGGGAGGAGAGAGGCTGAGCTGTGGAAGCAGCAGAGAAAGCCCACCGCAGAATGAGTCTATTCCCAAAGGGGTTTGTGTCCCAGCTCACTGTGGTTGTTGGTTCTATGGGTTTGCCATTTCCAGGAGTGGCTATGAAGCTGCATCGCAGGACTTCATCCCCAATGACTTGGAGGTCCAAGTTCCTGGAAGAACCTTCTTGATCACTGGAGGGAACAGTGGCATTGGGAAAGCAACTGCTATTGAAATAGCCAAAAGAGGTAAGTAGTCTGCTAACCCAGTGCCCCCTTAACTCCCAGCCAGCCTACCTGGTCCACGCAGGGATTGCACCCCGTGTCTCCAGCAGGTCAAGAGAGGCCTGGCCAACGTGGCCAATAATACTGGAGAGTGGCCCCTTTGAGCACACAGCTGCTGAGTTTCTAAGCTTCCAGTTAAAGGTACATAGAGTGGGTGCCTGGAGGCGACGTTCTTCAACATTTAATTAATTCACAGGAGTGTTTGGGGCCTGCCCAAACTTCACAGTGTTTTCTGCTTAAGAACAGTGGAGGGCAGTCGTCACTCATCAGTGAAACTTAAAAAAAATATATGGATGCCTAGTCCCTAGTTCAGGTCTCTTGGTGGTGCAAGCAGTTTGCCCCTGACTGCTAGAAAGGTTAATGGTTCAAATCCACCCAACGACTCTGCAGGAGGAGGGCATGGGAGTCTGATGATGCAAAGATTACAACAAATGAAACGCTTGTGGAGCTCAATCTCACTCTGTAGCATGTGGGGTTACCATCAATCAGAATTGACTTGATAGTAACAGGTTTGTTTTTGGTCCCTAACCCTTGTCTTCTCAATGAGAATCTCAGGAGTGAAGGAAGGAGCTCAGAAGGTATCAGAATTTGGATGTGGACCTTGCTTAAGAACCAGGGCCCATCTGGTGGTGGAGTCAATGGCCAGAGGCCACAGAGCTTGATGAACATGACCAATGGCACTGAGTGAGACATGTAGAAATAGTGAGACATGTAGAAATAGTTGAACTAGGAAAGAAAAAGAACCAGTGCCCTAGAGAGTAACTGGAAGTGAGGGGTGGAGAGTAGGGCAGCACGGGAGCTTCCTTCCTCCATCCTGGGGTCCAGCGTCCAGGGTTCGAGCACAGGGCTGGTCCCTACTTCCCTTCCTTAGCCTTGACTCTACACAGAGGCTCTCGAGGTGTCTGTAAATTATTCAGTCAGCTCAAGTCTCTGGTACATGCTAAGACTTTGCACACAAGTCACAAATAGCATCGTGTCTCTCAGGAGTCTCTTCTGTAGGAATAATCGATGTTCCTGCAGAGATCAGGGAAATAGGTTGGGAATTGATCACTTTCA